TACAAGACAAAGTCAGCTTCGAATAGAGGGTGAAGGCGCGCACCCCACCTCGGTCAACAGAGCCTGCAGCTTGACATGCTTCCCACGCGTTGTGAGCAGGATCTGGCATTCAGGCGGTATCTCTGTGGCTTCGGAAATCCAGTGCTTCAAAGCCTCGACCGAGTTGAAGCCGACGGGATCAGCGTCGAGACGCTGGCCCGTATGAGCCACAGCAATCTGCAGCGACATTTGGAGAACCCTCCAGCTGCACAGGTGCCTGTTGCGACAGGACTGCGAGTGATGGGAGAAGTAGTGGAGCGTGAGCGTAGGCAGGAGTTGCCGCCAAGATGACATGCAGGGATCGTGCCCACGGGCCACCCGGCATGCATTGGTGAAGGGAACACACGATCAAGTGCACCATGGCAACACTCGCTCTCTCATCCAGGAATTGGATTTTGCGTTGGCGCCATGGATGCCGGAAACGACACCGTCATGGCGGACGCGGCGGCGGCTCCGCAGAATCCAAAAGACTTTTCCGATCTTCTGCAGACAAATCACAGCGACGCGTTCGCGTTTTCCGACACGGAGAAACTCGCGCTCCAACTCTATGATCAACTTCGCGAGCTGGAGCTGCAGCGGAGCCTCCTCGAGGCGCAGGAGGCAGGCACGTACCGCCTTCACGCGGGACTTGCACTTGACAAACTAACGTATCACAGCACACGTGCCAGATGTCTCGGCGCTATCAGACGATGTCTTACAAGCGCAGCTGATGGTGGCCCAGCGCGAGTCCATGGAAGCAAAGGCAAAGTATGAGCTGCGGAATAGGATTTCCTATAACGTGCTGGTCATGGATCCTGTGCTGAAAGCTGTGCACGGGGGCGAGCAGACGGATTATGCTGAAAAGTGAGCGCGTCAATCTGTTATGAGATCAAACTAAAAAAAATACAGGCGGATTCTGCCATTGATATCAGAAAACGATGTCGTTTCGATGCTTCATGGATCTTTGGCTGCAAAGCTGGCCTCCATGACACATGCTCTAAGCGACGCCGAACGTGGAAACATGGCCGCCAATGCGAGGAATAGCGACCTCTCCCGCACCCTTCTTGTTCTTGCAGAGGAAATGAAGGCCCAATCACCTGACGATATCGAAAATCCCCGACTTCGCGATCAAGTCAAGTTTGTGGAAAAGGAAGTGAAAGAGCTGCGGAGGAAGGCTAAGATCTTGAAGGGTCTTGTTTCTGGAACGATTGTTGGGAGTGGGATCAACTGGGCGGCTGATGAGGTCCTGTGCGAGCTCGTGATGGACGATGAGGAAGGTTGATGGACGGACAAGCAGACATAGGCTAGTCTTGGGCGGCTGCTATGATCAGTATGCCTGCGATCACATGTAGGAGAGGTTGAATGATTTGATGACGAAATGTTCAATCGATTTGATGAGCCTAGTTAAAAGAGCGTATTTCCATCGCACCAGGCGCTGAGTCTACCTTACTTTTCGCGCAAGTTCGATTGCTGGCGGTGCTGATATTCTGCCAGTGCCGTATCCGCTGAAACGCATAAGAGTCAAAAAGCGTCCTGATTGAGCGAGGTCAGACGTAAGCCTCTCCACGACTGCGATGTGGGCTCGAGCATACTGCGTACGTGGGCGCGCGTACACAGCTTTGAGAAACGATAGGAAGCTTGGACGTTTACCAGAAAAGATGGTAGCATTTGACGGGAGATACAGAAAAATGCATTCGGGATGTAATACTCGAGGACGGGGCGTGGTGGAACAAACTAACAGATGTTTCAAGCATGCTCCGTGTCGCGCTCCGCGCGATTAACAGCTTCCCTGGCGGGCCAGAGCTTGCAGAGACGGCAAAGATTGAAGGGGTTATATGCGATTCGCGAGTGCAGAAGCTCTTGCGCCATGACAGAGGTGAGCTGACTCCTGTTGATGGCGAAGCAATGACCCTTTCTCGTTACTAATCATCGAGTATGTATTTACGCGGCTGGAGACTCGGACGAGTTGGGGGGCCGCCACTATAGAGTGGCAGTTTGAAGCCGCGGTTGCCTACGACAATCACAATGAACGAGACCCAATGCTGATGCTATGGGCTGCGGACGCTGTTTCGGGTGCTGTTGATGAGAGGTTTGCGAATAGCGATGCGCTGGGCCCGGGGCGGCGCATCTGTTTCCTGTGCCTGTGCCTGCGCCCAAGACGGCTACGACGACCCGGCCTTGCCAACTTTCGCAGCAAAGCCGATGAGCTCATTATCAGTGTCTCGCGGCCCTGGACCGACGGCTTCGTTGATGGTGCATTCTTGCGCCCAAGGGTTTGCTAGTTAGTGTCTGCGCCCAACTGTCTTAATAACAAGACGGTGCTCAGTGACGTTTGCAGCGACCATTTGGCAGCGAGGAGGGCGCCCTCCCCCCCCCCATCGAAGAGCGCAAGCCGAGCGCAGGCCTGGCCCCGTGCGATGTGAGTGAGCGGGCTGGGACGCAAGATGCACGGTGGCGGCAGCAGTGCCGTCCTACTCCAGCTTGGGCGCTCCAGGCTCGGGGCTCAGGGCGTGCTGGGAGCAGCAGATTCAGCCTGCGCCCTGGTATAAGAGGAGATAACGTCGTCGACGCAGGCGGCAGACGGCAATTTCGAAGTGGGCGACGGGCGGGCCCAATCGTCTGCGTGCAATATAGCGGGCGACATGAAACCACTGTCCAGGAATGCGCCCGTGTTGATGTGGAGGAGGAGGGGAGGGGGTGCAGCGCGGTGGGCTCCTAGCACGCTCCACGCTCCTCGCTCCTCGTGCGGCAGCCCTCCCCAGCGTCGCGCTCGAGGCCAGAGGGGACGGCGCCGGCGAGCAGGAGGGCGTCGGGGGCCCTGGACAGCGCAGCGCAGTGGCCCAGGGCGGCACGGCGACTCTCGTTCCCTCGCTCGCTCTCGCAGACGCAGCGGGCGCGGACGTGGTGGAATGCGGCGGCCTCTTGCCCAGGTCGGCGGCTTTGTTTGGGGCGGGCGCGCACGTGACGCGCACATTGGGGCAGGCGCGGCTGGTGCCCGTCCTCCGGCGGTTTTGTAAGGGAGCTCGCATCGCCCGCTCCCCTCTCTCCTCTGCGCGCTGCCAGTTCCTCACACAACCCTCTCATACAAACTGCTCCCCATACAAACTTCACTGCCCACCACATTTGGTACGTTCTCGGCTCTTTACACTCGCTGCCCGCCGCCGCCAGCACCCCCCAACACCACTGCACTTTTTTTTTACGCGTAAATCCCTCGCATTCACGCGTCCGGTCGCCTTCTGCCTCTGATTTCTTCATCTTCAGAGTCGCATCGCGTCTTGCTTTCTTGTTGCTCGCCGTCGCCGTCGCGCTCCACCACGCCCACACTGACCGCCAAACAGACTGTCCTCGAAGACCACTTTTTTTCCGCCATAAACCCACCGTCCGTGAGTAGTGCACCCTTCCTGTCTCTCTTATTCGCGCTTCTCTGCGACGCATCGTGGTGTTTTGCGACCGAGTCACCTCGCGCGCAAAGCAAGCTGCTCCATCGCATTCGCATATCACCTGTCTACTCCCCGCGACTGCCAACTTCAACGGCAACAACCTCACCGTCGTCGATTGAGCTGCTAGCCCCAAATCACGCCTGCACCCTGTCTTATTCTTCTCTCACCTTCATTTTACCTGCAACACGCAATTAACATTTCGCCCCAGACCTACCATCATGCCTAAGGAGAAGACCACCAGAGGCAAGGGCAAGGCCGCCACCAAGGCCGAAGGCAAGAAGAAGAAGGGTAAGATGCTCCTACCGCCTCTCCGTGAATCCTGCCTTAACTTCTTCAGACCCCAATGCGCCCAAGCGTGGTCTGTCAGCATATATGTTTTTCGCCAACGACCAGCGTGACAAGGTCCGCGAGGACAACCCGGGAATCAAGTTCGGTAAGTTAGCCCGCAAACTCACATGCCTATCGCCGTTCTAACAGTCGCCAGGCGAGGTCGGCAAGCAGCTCGGTGAGAAGTGGAAGGCTCTCAACGAGAAGCAGCGCCAGCCTTACGAGGCGAAGGCTGCCGCCGACAAGAAACGGTACGAGGAGGAGAAGGCCGCATATGCCGTAAGTCTAATCCCCAAATCACCATGACCCGCCACTAACCCATGTAGACTGCTGCTGAGGAAGAGGAAGAGTCCGAGTAGCCGGAAGTTGCGTCCTCCTCACTTTGTCGTCTGTCGCACGGGTCTCCTCTGCGAGCTTCGTCCGTAATGGTCTTGTCTCCCGGTAGTCGGTCGTGGTGCAACGGGATCGGTTCTCTTTGTCATCGGCTTATTTCCATCTCTTTATTTTGTGGGTCTTATGAGGCTATCGGTCTGTGGTGATCTCCTTAGAACCGCATGGGGCTCGATGCGGCTACAGGTGGTTTTCATCGATGATGTTTTGCGTCTCTCTATACAACACGAGGAGGCGGGTACAACATGAAGCTCACGACCTATGTACACTAGATTACTGCGGTATGATTTGATCCTTGCACTGCTCACTCCCGACTTTCCAATTGACCTGCATGATGCTTTGTGATTTTCTTGCCAGTCTTGGTACATGACGCACCCAATGTAGTACAATACCGCCACTGCCTTCGTATTTTAAACCCCTGCCCCCAACCATCCGTACAAGACGTGTTTATATCTCCCCACAAAGTGACCATGCAGTCGCCAAAGTGCCTGCAAAGCAAGTAGACTAGAGTCCTCACATAGATCCACATCCCCCATCCCACCATTCCATAACCAACCCCGACGCACAATCCCCCAATCCATCCATCCGTCCATTCCATCCCATCCCATCCCATCCCATCCCATCCCATCCTCCGCCCAGCACACCGCCACGAGGAAAACGGGAAGCCGCATCCAGGCACGCAGCTTCCCGCCTGCCCTCCCGAGCGCCCCTTCCCCTCCCACTCCCACGCACCTCTCTCACTCTCACTCTCTCTGGCGTGTAAAAAGGGGGCACAGGTCGTATATCTATGCCGTTGTGCGTGGGTCTCTCATTCAGAAGCCAGCAGCACTCGTGGCCCAGTGGTTAGGGTACTGCCTTCCCAGTCGTCCGTCCGTTAGGCGGGCGGGATGTCAGGCAGGGGTCGCGGGTTCAATCCCCGCCGGGTGCAAGTTTCTCTCTCTTTTTGGTTCTCTTTTTTTTCTCTTTTTTTTTCTTTTTTTTTTTGGCTGGAGGATGGGATGGAGGGAGGGGGCTTGGGGTATGGGGTGTGTAGGAAGAGATAATGTTATATGGGTACGCTTTTGGCTTTATTTGCATCGGATATCATCTTTATTTCACCGTCTTCGAGTGCCATTTCTTATCACCTGAACGCCGTGCTTGCCTATGCCGCATTTCCCTTTCAAAAGCACAAACAATATGGACCCATATACACCCTAATCATTGCCTCCCCAATCCAGTTCCCTCGGTTCTTAGAAGGCGGCTCGCATGGTTAAAGCCCGCATACAATTGCGTCAAATCTTACAGCTTAGTAATTTCCCCTGCTGCAAACATTGTCTTACTCCCGCTGCAGCACCACCATCAGTCCCATGATCCCCAGCATCGCCTGCTTGAGCCATGGATACTCACTCAGTAGAATCGTCACGTATCCCACAAATGGGATAAACCCGACAACACTCCCGATGACATCTTCTTTCCGGTTTAGGAATGATTGGCCCGTGGCGTAGAGCTCGGTGTCGTCGGCGGCGTTATTGTCGCCCTTGGTGAGGAGGCGGAGGGGTGATTTGCTACAGCAAAAATTAGCAATCCACAGTCTTTCTAAACAGCACGGCCAAAGCCTCAACTATTCCTCCATCTGGCTCGCACCTTCCAATCCCGCAACATACAAAGACGAAAGAATAGCTTACCCTCCGCCAAATCTCCGCACAACCCGATGCACAATCGGGATGTCCTTGCCCTTCACATTGTACACGACTATCTCCCCCACTTGTGTATCTAGCCCCCGGTTCCACAGGAACAGCAGATCGCCTCGCTGGAAGGCGGGCTCCATGGATCCGGAGAGGACGACGACGATGGGCGAGGGCGAGTCGGAGACTACGGAGAGCCCCTTCCAGAGCATGAAGGCGGTGGATAGGACGAGCGCGAAGTTGAGCAGCTGGGTGGCTAGCTGCCGGGGTTGCATGTTCCCGAGGCCCAGCATCGTGGTGTTCCGCGGGTGTAAAGTGCAGATTGCGGGTAGTGACCGTGGGAGATGTGGTTGTGAGAGGAAGTTATTCTGGGGCGATTGGCGGTGGGCTTGGATTTGCGCCTGGCGACTGAGGAGGCGCGTGTAAGAACTTGGGATGGAGCTGTGGGTTTGGGTGAGCTTGATGCCAGATTCGACATTTCGTTGATTGGCTAGTAAGAGCGCTAGTCGTGTATGGAATAGCGTCATTGACTCACACTTCATTGACGACGCAATTACCTTTGTCTTTTGTGCACCGACAACTTGCATATAGCGACAGTTAACTTCTACTACCGGCCTCTCGATCTTGATCAAACCAGGTACCCAAAGCCTTAAACTCAAAAATCGAACACGAATAACAACTCTTTCAAACAAACGGACGATCTACAACATCAATCTAACCAATCAAACGTCGAACCAATTTATCCCTCGCCATCAAAATGAAGACTGATAACTATCTCACTCTTTGCCTCGAGCAGGCTTCTAAGTCCCCTCTTCGCTACCGTCATGGATGCATCATTGTTCGCGGTGGCAAGGTCATCGGCCAAGGCTACAACGACTATCGCGCCGGGTTCAATGGCGGAGCTTTGAAGACAGGTCGTCTCCCAGCATCCTCCCAGGATGGATCTGCCATTGCGGCGCTGAAGAAGAAGCACAAGTTGAAGCGTGAGCCGAAGAATGAGCGAGAGTGCAAGTCAGATTCCCAGGAGGTGACGACGAAGACGTTCACGCCGTTCGAGAACATGAGTGGTATGGGCGGTGGCAAGCATGCGAACACTCCTCTCTCGATGCACTCGGAGATGATGGCGATCCACTCAGCTATCTCCGCTTCCAGTACTCTGGCCTCCATTGCCGTGTCTTCTCAAAAACCGTACTTCAAATTATCGGGTGATTCTAAAAGAAGAGCTCGACTACACCGCGAGGCAATCAAAGCCTACGTCGAAATCGTCTGCACTGCTACACTCGACCAGTCAGCCACAGAGCAACGCAATGCCCCGCAACAAGTTCAACAGTGGCGGTTTGAAGCCAATACATCTCAACCGGGCCAAATTGGATCTCGCGTTTCAACTCAGTCGGGAGGTCTGCGAGCAGGATGTAGTGTTGCCCAAGGAGAACAGTATAGAGAAACACCGTCGGAAGAACCAAGAAATTCATCATCACAACAGGACGTATCCGTACCATTCTGGACAACAACGCCGACAGTCTGCACATAAGTCGCCGGCGCATGAGACGATTACGGGGCCTTGTCATTCGAAAACAGGTTCAAGTCTATTCAATAATGAGCATAGACTCGATCTTGCCTCTAGCCCTCGAGGCACAGACCAGGCCTCCAAGCATTATAGCTCTAAGACGCACCATAGCAACGTGAGTTGCATGAACCCCCCCGATGAGTATTTACTAATAGAAATAGAAGAAAAGCACGAAATTGCAGCCATCTGTAGCCAAGACGCAGCCAATGCTCATACCAAAAGGACGTACCGGTCAGAACTCTCACAGTGTTACGGAGCGGATGAAGCATCCTCGGCTTCATGGCGCAGATCTCTACGTTGCTAGGCTTGGTTGGAGGAGCACAAGCGCATCTGACGACTCAAACACCTGCTGTGATACTTCAGCAGTTATAGAGGCCGAGTCGCCTGACAATCGTTCAGGGCCACACACTGGTTCATTACATGATGAGCTTTCTACTCCTCCATCTATGCCAAAATCAGCGAACGATCTTCAAACATCGCACGCAAAAACGCAGCCGACAGTCCTTGCATCACGGCCTTGCTATCGCTGCATTTCCTACATGAACTCGGTTGGCATCAAACGAGTCTTCTGGACTACGGATTCCGGTGTCTGGGAGGGAGCTAAAGTTCGTGACTTGGTGGAGGCTCTGGATACGCTAGGTAACGGGAAGACGTCCGACGTTAATACAGCACTCAACAGCGTGTTTGTCACTAAACATGAGGTATTGATGTTGCGTCGCATCATGGGCGATAGCTAGATTGAACTTTTTCTTCCTTTCTTTCTTTTCATCACCTCCATCTGCGTCGTGAACTCATTGCTCTAGTCTGGGACCCAGCGATCTTACTTGTCCACTCTTACCCTAGATTTCAAACTGTCATCTTAGTTGACTACGAGGAATTTTTAGCGAGGCTTACTAGGTATGAACTACCCCAACGCACAACGCAGCGGAAGCCAAGGCGCCGCCTGTGGCAGCGACCGTTGAAGCCGCGATCATAATGTGGCGGCTTACTTGTTCAGGGGCTTCCGATGCGTTAGTCGAGTTCCCCACGGGGAAATGGTTAACCCCGGCTCTTGGCATCTCCAACTTCCAAGGATCTTGACAAGTACCGAGATGTGCAGTAGGTCTTCGGGAAGTAATCTGATTCGCGAGGCTGTTGGTCGATCACTTCACCGTGGTCTTGGTCGACGTAGAAACATGAGAGTCGTTGCTTTAGAGTCCATTGGCGTGGAAATCGAATCCCGCTAGACGTTTGATGCTAACGTGTTTATCCTCATTCTGCCCATGGGTACAAGGCATTTTATTCCCACTTTCCAAACTGAGCTTTCCGGTCGTGGGGATGATTGGCAGGTTTTCCATCTGCTTGTGGAGTGTTTGGAGGAGATATAAGCCCATGAGAGCCGCCCCCCAAATTGCTTTTTGTTCCGAACCAGGACATCCTCCTGTTAACTCGCTTTTCAATTTGCGGATACAATTTCACTCTAGAACTTGAACATGCGTTCCTGCTATGGTAGAGGAAGACCTTTGAGGGCCGCCATTGCTACCTGCTGTCTGGCGGCCTTCCTGTTCTTTGGGTAAGCATACCTCGCCAACATCCACAATCGTATTACTTGACTGAGGAATTGTTCTAGTTATGATCAGGGTGTCTTTGGTGGCATTCTGCAGATGCCAGACTGGCTAGAACAATTCGACCACCCCAATGACACCAAGACTGGCATCATCGTCTCCTCTTACTGCTTGGGCGCGCTCGCGGGCTGCATTTTAAACGTTTTCATCGGAGACTACTTTGGTAGACGACGAATGGCAAGCACCGACTACGTCTAGCTATTCATTGATCAATACTGACGCTTTGTAGATATGGATAGCGATGGGCTTCGTCATTGTTGGCGCCGTTCTTCAAACTTCTGCATTCCATCTGTCACATCTGATCATCGGCCGTGTCATCACAGGCATAGGCACTGGCATCGACTCTTCAACCGTTCCTATGTATCAGTCTGAGCTGTGCGAGAAGGAGCATCGTGGACGACTTGTTTCCTGGGAAGTGCTGTTCATCGGCATTGGCATCGTTCTTGCTGTAAGCCAAACCCGCACTTCTTTTACGGTTCAAGCCGTTGACTTTGGACCTAGTACTGGATCGATTTCGGCTTCACGTACATTGGCGGCTCCGTCGCTTGGCGGACGCCCATTGCCTTGCAGCTCATCTTCGCCATCGCCGTCATTTTCCTCGTCTGGGGCCTTCCCGAATCCCCCCGCTGGCTCGCCGCCCGCGGCCGCGAAGACGAAGCCATCGAAGTGCTCTGCGCCGTCTTCGACCGCGACCGCAACGACCCCTTTATCGTGGAGCAAGTCGAAGGCATCCGCCAAGCCATCGCAATCGAGACCCGCGCCGGGGCCCAGAAGCTCTCCGGCCTCTTCAAGAACGGGCGGCTCAAGACGAGGAGACGGGTTGGCTTGGCCTGGTTTGGACTCTTCATGAACCAGCTGTCCGGGATTAACATGGTGGTGTACTATATGCCTACCGTGCTAGTAAACAACGTCGGACAGCCCCCGAGGCTTGCACAGATCCTCGCGGGCTGTGTGCAAATCATGTTCGTCATCGGGTGTCTCCTCCCCTCGCTGCGGCTCGATCAGATGGGGCGGCGCAAAACGATGATGTGGGGGTGCGGTGGGCTGGGCATCTGCATGATGTTCATCGCTGCGCTGCTTTCGGTCAAGGACA